CAGGGCTGTGTGTTCTGAAGTTAGAGCTCAGAAGGCAGACACCCATGTTTGTGCTGAGTCATTCCCTCACACTGCAGAGGACATATTTCTCCAGAAGACCTTTAACCCAGGCAGCTTTTGCCTGGGGAAAAGCAATTCCCCCACCCTATTGGAAAACCTCTTTACCCACACTGTGGTCGATAGCCTGAAGTTAATCAAGACTGAATAACAATCAGACTGCAGGAAGAGGCAGGTCTCTGGAGGCTTTGAGTCTTTGCCTGATCTAATTTGGGGCTGGGGCTAGGAAAAGCAGACCCAGGTACACATCATGGTCCTTTCCAAAGGTGCCCAGACCCAGCAGAGGGAGCCACAAACTGTGGATTGCTGATAGCTCCAAACAGGTTACTCAGGGCCAGTCACAAACATAATTTGACATTGTCCTGCACTAGAAATTGGGAGTTATAGCACATTTACCTAACACATAGAAACAAACCCAAACAGACAGCCAAAATGGGGAGAGTAAAAAACAGGCTCCAGATAAAATAACAAGAGAATTCTCCAGAAGAAGAGCTAAGTGAAATGGAGATAAGAAATTTGATAGAGTTCAGAATAATGATGGCAAGGATGCTCAAGAGCATGAGAAAAGATATAGTAACTATGAAAAAAACCCAGTTGGAAATAAAGAATGACATAGCACTAATATTCCTAAAATTATATGAAATCACAAAAGACCTCTAATAGCTCAAGAAATCCTGAGAAAGGCATTACACTTCCTAGTTTACATACACATTGTAAGTAATACATAGCAGATTAGGCAAAGCTGAGGATTGTATCACTGAATTAGAGAAAAGGGTAGAAAAAAATCAGTCCATTAGAGAACCAAAAAGAAAAAAAACAGGAGGAGAGACTTTTGGGAGCTGTGGTACAGTAAGAAACATAACAATATTCACATCATAGGAGTGCAAGCAGTTGAAGAAAGTGATCAAGGGATAGAGGACATGTTTGAAGAAATAATAGCAGAAAACTTCCCTAACCTGGTGAAGGAAAATATCACACAAGTTCAGGAAGCTCAGAGAGTTCCAAGCAAGAAGAACTAAATAGGCCCATGCCCAGACACATCATAATTAAAATGCCAAAAATTAAAGACAGAGAAAATCTTAAATGCAGCAAGAAAAAAGTAGTTTGTTACCTAAAAGGAAGCTCCCATAACACTGTCAGTTGATTTTTCATCAGAAACTCTATAGGCCAGAAGGGTACCACATGAAATACTCATAGTAATGAAAAGCAAGGCTGAAACCAAGAGTACTAATAGTATATCCATCAAGGCTATCATTCAAAATAGATGGTGAAATAAAGAGCTTCCAAGGCAATAAAAGGCTAAAGAGGATTACCACCACCAAACCATCACTGCAAGAAATGCTAAAGGGACTGGTGTAATGAGGAGAGAGAGAGAGAGAGACAGACAGACATAGGCATAGAGCATTAAAATGGCATTAAATAAATACCTATAAATAATAACCTTAAATGTAAATGGATTAAATGCTCCAATCAAAAGACATAGAGTAGCTGAATGGATGTGAAAACATAACCCAATAATATGCTGTCTACAAGAGACCCACCTAAGAACAAAAGACTCACACAGGATGAGAGTGAAGGAATGGAAAAAAAACAATTTCCATGCAAATGGAAACCAAAAAAGAGCTGGTGTAGCAATACTCATATCTGACAAAATAGACTTTAAAATGAATGCCATCACAAGAGACAATAAAGGTCACTACATTATACTAAAGGGATCAATCCAACAAGAGGATATAACCTGGGTAAACATATATGCACTCAATATAGGAGCACCTAAATATATATTTTAAAAATTTCTGGAGGACTTTACGAGAGAGATCTACAGCAAGACAGTCATAGTAGGGCATTTGAACACCCTGCTGAATTCACTAGGTAGATCTTCCAGACAAAAATTAACAACAGTGACTCTAAAGGACACACTGGATCAGAAGGGTTTCATTGACATTTATTGAAAATTTCACCCGAAAGCTGCAGAATATACATTCTTCTCAACTGCACATGGGTCATTCTCAAAGATAGAACAAATGTTGGGGGGAAAAAAAAAAACAAGTCTCTTCACGTTCAAGAAGATTGAAATCATATCAAGCATCTTCTCAGATAACAATGGAATGAAATTAGAAATCAACAACAGTAAAAACACTCAAAAAATTCAAACATGTGGAGGCTAAATAGCATGTTATCAAACAATGAATGCTTTGCCAATGAGATCAATAAAGAAATAAAAAAAAACTTCCTGGACACAAATGAAAATGAACTCACAATAACCCTAAATTTAGGGGGCACAGCAAAAGCAGTCCTGAGAGGGAAGTTCATAGCACTACAGTCCTACTTCAAAAACAAACAAACAGAAAAATTAATAAATTATTTAAACTTACAACTTAAAGAATTAGAAAAACAAGAAAAGCCCAGAGTAAGCAGAAGAAAGGCAATAATAAAGATTGGAGCAGAAATTAATGGCATAGAGACTGAAAAAAATAATACAAAAGATCAATGAAAACAGGAGCTAGAAAGGATAAATAAGATGGATGAACCTTTAGCCACACTCATTAAGAAATAAAGTAAGAGGATCCAAATAAACAAAATCAGAAATGGAAGAGATGGCATAACAACTGACCCCAAGGAAATATAAAGGATTGTAAAAAAAAAAATACAATGAACAACTAACTATATGCCACCAAGCTGGACAACCTGGACAAAATGGACATATTCCTAGGAAAAGACACTCTTCCAAAACTGAATCAGGAAGAATTGAAAATTTGAATAGGTCAATAACAAGTGATGAAATAGAAGCAGTAATTAAAAAAAACTCCCAACAAACAAAAGCACGGGTTTGGACAGCTTCAAAAGGGAGTTGTGCCAAGCATTCAGTGAAGCATAGACACCTATCCTCTTCAATTTCAAAAAATCCAAGAAAAAGGAACACTTCCAACATCTTTTTATGAGGCCAGCATTGGACTAATTCCAAAACCAGATGAAGACACTACAAAGAAAGAGAATTACAGGCAAATGACCTTTATGAACATAAATTCTAAAATCCTCAACAAAATATTAGCATATTGGATTTAGCAATATATTTAAAAGATCACACACTATGACCAAGTGGATTTTATTCCAGGGATGCAAGGTTGTTACAATATTCACAAATCAATAAATGTGAATCAAATATTAAAGGACAAAAATCACATGATCATATCAATAGATGCAGAAAAAGCATTTGACATATCCAACATACATTTTTTATAAAACTCCCAGCAAAATGAAAATAGAGGGATTATACCTCAACATAATGAAAAGCAATATATGACAAGCCTATAGCCAATACCATATGCAATGAGCAAATTTAAAACCATCTGCACTAAGAATAGGAAAAAGACAGAGATGTCCTCTTTCACCACTCTTATTCAACAGTCTGGAAGTCATAGCCACAGAGATCTGACAAGAAAAAAACATGAAAAGCCTCCAGATTGGAAAGGAGGAACTCTCATTCGCAGTTGATATGGTATTATACATAGTTATATTACAAGTTATACTATAAAGCACTCTAATCAAAACAGCCTGCCCTAACTGGTTTGGCTCAGTGGAGAGAGTGTCAGCCTGAGGACTGAAGGGTCCCGGGTTCCATTCCAGTCAAGGGCATATACTTTGGTTGCGGGCACATCCCCAGTAGGGGGTGTGCAGGAGGCAGCTGATCGATGTTTCTCTCTCATCGATGTTTCTAACTCTTTATCCCTCTCCCTTCCTCTCTGTAAAAAAAAAAATAAAACATATTTTTTTAAAAAACAGTCTGGTGCTCACACAAGAACAAGCATAGAGATCAATGGAATAGAACAGAGACCCCAGAAATTTGCCTGAGCCATTGTGCTTAATTAATATTTGACAAAGGAGGCAAGAGCATACAATGGAGTCAAGACAGTCTCTTCAATAAACGGTGTTGAGAAAATTGGACAGATACATGCAAAAAAAATGAAACTGGACCACCAACTTACACCATATACAAGAATAAACTCAAAAAAAGACTTAAATGTAAGTTGTGAAACCATAAAAAAACAGAAAATATAGGAAGTATAATCTCAGTCATCTCTCATAGCAATATATTTGCGGATACATCTCCTAGGGCAAGGGAAACTAAGAAAGGAATAAAAAGATGGGACTACATCAAAATAAATACTTCTGCACATCAAAAGAAACCATCAACAAAATGAAAACGGAGCCCACTGTATGGGAGAATATATTTGCCAATAATACTACTGATAAAATGTTAATATCCGAAGTTTATAAGTAACTCATATAAAACTTAACAAAAGGAAGACAAACAATCCAACTAAATTGGCAAAGGTTCTAAATAGACACTTCTCCAAAGTGGACATTCAAATGGCCAAAAGACATATGAAAAAATGCTCAAAATCACTGATCATCAGAGAGATGCAAATTAAATTGATAGTGAGGTACCTATCACCTCACCCCTGTCAGAATGGTTACCATCAGCAAATCAACAAATGACAAGTGCTGATGAGGATGTGAGAAAAGTGAACCATAGTACAATGCAGAGTGGTGCAGCCATTATGGAAATCAGTATGGAGTATCTTAAAAAAATTAAATATGTTACTGCCATTTGACCCAGTGATCCCATTTCTCAGAATATATCCTATGAAACACCAATCAGAAAGAAGGTATGAATCCCTCTGTTCATAGCAGCATAATTTACAATAGCTAAAATCTGAAAACAGTCCAAGTACCCATCAGTTGATTTGCTGAAAGAAAATGTTTTATTTTAAATCATGAACATTTATAATGGTGATTAAACAGATATTATATGCTCATTTTTCTAATACATAAGCATATCTAAAAAAGAACATAAATTGTATTAACCAATGTCACCCCAATATATTTAATAACATCATAAATGCCATTTAATAACATTTGATATTTTTAACTTCTTGCAGAATTTTTCCACACAAGGAGTTCCAAAGTCAAACTATATTCAAATTGGGAGACCAATTGGATAATCAAGTTCCGAAGAGCACGAAATGCCATATAGAATAGATGGTGTGCAGATGAAATCCAACTATTAAAAGCTTCCTGCCTTCAATTATTATCTCTTTTATACCTTTTTTCTTTTCTCATCCCTCTGTGACCACAGAGCAAAACTTTCATTTCCAATACCCAACTTCATTAACTCAGCAGGGGATGAAAATACTTGTTATCTTCAAAATTCAGCATAACACTTGGTTCCTGATTTATTACATGTCTTACCTAATAATAGACAAACATGCAAATTGACCATCCCTCCAATACGCCCACTAACCAATCGGATGAGTATGCAAATTAACCCAACAAAGATGGCCGTTAATTTGCATACATAGGCGCCAGCGGCAATCAGAGCCTGCAATGGGAGGTGAGGGGTCACCTGCCCAGGCCTAACGCATCTCAGCCAGAGGTGTTAGGCCTGGGCAGGGGCGGGGCTGGTGATGGTGGGGAGTAGAAGCGCAGCCAGCAATCCCGGGAGCAGGGGCGGAGCCTGCGATCCTGGGAGCTGGGGGTCCCCTGCCCAGGCCTAACAACTCGGCCACAGGCATTAGGCCTGGGCAGGGGCGGAGTTGGTGATCGCAGGGAGAAGGGGCAGAGCCAGCAATCACAGGTGTTAGGCCTGGGCAGGAGCGGAGCCAGCAATCGCGGGGAGCTAGGGGTGGAGTTGGCGATGGGGGGAGAAGTGGGGGAGCTGGTGATGGCGGGGATTGGGGGGGAGCCGGCGATCATGGGAGCTGGGGGTCCCCTGCCCAGGCTAATGACTCGGCCAGAGGCGTTAGGCCTAGACAGAAGCGGAGCTGGTGATCGTGGGGAGCAGGGGTGGAGCCAGCGATCACAGGGAACTGGGGGTCCCCTGCCCAGGCCTAACAACTCGGCCACAGGCGTTAGGCCTGGGCAGGGGTGGAGTCCATGATCGCAGGGAGCAGGGGAAGAGCCAGCAATCACAGGTGTTAGACCTGGGCCAGCAATTGGTGTGAACTACAGAGGAAACACCTTTTCTGACTTCTCATTGGCTAAGCTCCCTGTATGCCATTGGTAATATTCTTAGTAACTTGGGTAATAATAATCCAATAAGGTGATCTAGGGTTTTTTACCACACTCCTGGAGAAAAAAAGGAAGGTCCGCTGCTGGAGGGCTAAGAAATGTCATATCCTGTCCTAGCTGGTTTGGCTCAGTGGATAATGCCTTGGCCTGCCCACCGCAGGGTCTGGGTTCAATTATGACTAAGGGCATGTACCTAGGTTGCAGGCTCCTCCCTGGCTGGGGCCCAGGTCAGGGCTCATGCAGGAGGCAACCAATCTAAGTGTTCCTCTCACTTTGATGTTTCTCTCTGTCTTTCCCTTTCTCTTCCCACATTCTTTAAAAATCAATGGAAACATATCCTCAGGTGATGATTAAAAAAAAAAGAAAGAAAGAAATGTCATATCCTATGAAAGACACATCTTGAAAATGCCTAAAGAAAGTTGTCATTTTTCATGGTGAAGGGACTGGAGTCCGTGTTAATGAAAACACCTTGGTGGCTGTGGTGACTGGCAGTGGCTGCAGTAGCAGGGTGATGGGGCTGGTGCCTTCCCCTGATCAGCCCGGTCACCTCCCACAAAGGGAGGCCAGACTGTGGCTTAGGCCCGCTCCCCAAGGGGAGCAGGGAGCGGGGCTATGCCATCAGTAGGACATCCCCTGAGGGCTCCCAGTATGTGAGAGGGGGCAGGCTGGGCTGAGGGTCCCCCCCAGTGCACAAATTTTTGTGCACCGGGCCTCTGGTATATTTATAAAGTGCTCAGTGAAATATACAGATGATTGTTTGCAAATTGCTTATAGAATATATTGAATACTTTTGATCTACTGTATAAATATAATGAATTGCACCAAATCATCAGCATTACTGTATAAATGTATTATTTATACTCCCTCAAGTATAAATAATACATTATACTTGAAAAATGCAATTTGATTATAAACTAATTCCTTAAAATAAACTAAGAATTGTTCAATTATTTCTGTACACTGAGTGGGGCAGTGGAATTATTCCAAGATTTGGTTGCTCCTTCCCTTCTTTCTTTTCTTCCCTTATTTCTTCTTCTTTTCTTTTATTCCTTAGGGTGGTGGAAGACTAGGGTAGGGCAGCAACCTGGTGGAGGGGGATGATGGGTTCAAAAAGGGGGGGCATCTGAAATTCTCTTAATAAAGATTATTAAAAGTACTCATTTCACACCAACTATGTGACAAGCACTAGTTAGTTACTAAGGTACAACGATGAATCTGAGATAGTCCCTGGAGCTCAGACTGGTAGAAAAGACAGAGACAAAAATCACTTATCATTTTCCATTGTGACCAATACAATGATGAAAATGTATACAAGTAGGAAATTTCAAAGAACAATTAACCAAGCCTAGGGAGAAGTGTGATGATAACAGTGGAGAAAGAAAGCCATAAAAAATGAGGTGATGCCTAAGCTATCATAAAAGGTAAGTGGGAGTTAGCTTTATGAAGGGAGATTGGGGAGAATTTTTGAGACAAAGCAAAAGGCACAATACAGTGGGCCTTGACTTACGAGTTTAATTTGTTCCCAGATTGAGCTCACTAAGGAGCTCGTTAAGGAGCTCGTTAACTCAAATTACTCTGTCAACTCAAAGCAAAAAATCAGCCAAGAGACAGCTGGTATCTCAAAAAACTCGTTAGTCAGGACACTCGTAAGTCAAGGCTCCACTGTACTGAAAACAACATAGAGTATGAAGATCTTCAAGGAGTGTTAAAGTGAGGCTGAGGAGGTAGTCAAAGACTATGTAATGGAAGATCTCAAATGCCTTATTTAAAGTAAATTTTAGTAGTTATATAAATATATTGAAGGGTTATAGTTAATACTCTCAACAATAATAAATTTAAAAAATAAAATCAATAAAATAATTTTTTAAAAAAGTAAAAAATAAAACCCCTCTATGGAGGCCATGAGAATGTGCTTCAGAGCCTTCTAACCAAAGACCCAAGCTATTGTGCTCTGAAATTAATCCCTGCATTTGCCTGGAAGATATGCCTTCCCCCAGAAAGAAAGAAAGTAATGTAAGTTCATTTCTGAGTTATGGAACTACCCTAATGGCTGACTTTGGCTTGAAGACTCCCTAATGGCTTTGCTGAACCTTCCTTAGATTGCACAGCAGTCCAGGACACTTCCAAATTTCCTTCCCTTTCTCCTTCACTCAGTGTCAGACTTTCCAAGACTTTTGGAGATCCCTCCCCATTTTCTCTCAACAGGTGTTTCCCCTAAAAAAAAAAAATCCTTGCATATTCTGATACCATTTTGATGTTTGCTTCTGGGAGGACCTAGTTAAACATAACCCTTGATAACATATCCCCCTACAACTTTCCTTCACAGTCAAGCTTCTGGAATGAGTTGTCTACTCCCTGTCATAATTTATTTCTCTTTCCTTCATCCCTCAATTCACACAAATTTAGCTTGAATATCTACTACACATATTACCTTATCCAAACTATTCTTATTAGGGTCATTGATTATCTCTGTGTCACAAAATCTAATATATAATTTCTAGTCATTATTTTACCTCTCATCAACATTCATCACCAATGACCCTCCTTGAAACAGTCTCTTCCTTTGGTTTTGTGAGACTATGCTCTCTTTGTTTTATGCCTAACTTTTTACTGTTTAGCATTCTCTTTTGTTGGCTTCTCCCTCTACTTAATTCACTAATTATTGGACTTAGGCCTTTTTTTCTCTTTACCCTCTTCATTCCCCAAAAGCAATTTAATTTGTCTCTATTATTTTAATTATCATCTGCAATATCACTCAATTCTATATTTGCAGTCTACATCTTTTTGACCCACCCATGTGGTCATTTGCCTATTGGATATCTTGGACATCTCCACTTGAATATCTCAAAAGCACTAAAACCTTAATATTTTAAAAAGTAAGCTTATCTCTCTAGTTGCTTGCATTGCATTCCTTTGGCTACTATAACAAGTTATCAGGAATTTAGTTGGTTTATAACACAAATTTATTCTCTTGCAATTCTGTAGGTCAGAATTGCTAAAAGCAAGGTATGGATATGGCTGCATTCCTTCTGCTCTGGGGGTGAATCCATAGCTTTTTCCACCTTCTAGAGGCTGCCACATCTCTTGGCTCTGGCCCCCATCAATGCCAGCAATAGTGGATTGAGTCCTCACATTACACCATTCCAAACTCTTCTGCCTCCCTCTTCCACTTTCAGGCATTAAATTGGGAAAAACAAGTACCATATGTGGAATTTAAAGAGCAATGTAAATGACAAAGCAGAAAGAGACTCATACAGACTGATGGTTGCCAGAGGATTGGGGGGTTAGGGAACTGGGCGAAAAAGGTGAAGCAATTAAGAAGTATAACTTGTAGTTATAAACAAGTCATGGGGATGTAAAGTACAGTATAGGAAATATAGCCTATAATATTGCAGTAACTATGGATGGTGCATATGGGTACTGGAAATATTAGGGGGATCACTTTGTCTGTACACAAAGTGATCCCCCTAATATTGTCTACATGATTTTCTAGCCACTATGCTGTACACATGAAACTAATACAAAATAATATTGGATATAAACTGTAATCGAAAAAATTTAAAAAAAAGGAATACATTGGGTCCACCCAGATAAATCCAAGATAATTTCTGTATGTTGAAGTCCACTGATTAGCAACCTTAATTCTATCTGAAACCTGAATTCCCCTTTACCCTTTAAGGTAATATTCAAAGGTTCCAGGGATTATGACCTGGGTGGATTTGGGAGCAGGGCATTATTATGACTATTGCATTGTTTAGGACAGAAACAGTCATGATTTAACTCTTAATCTCTTTATCACACTGTGCCTGTTAGGATTACATATGCAAGCAAGTAGGAGAAAACATGACTCCAGTAGCCTCAAGCAACGGTTCCCTTATCTATACTAAAAGGGTAACATGCTAATTAGATGGGATCCAGACTTCATTTTGGATGT